GCCAGCTACTGTGCTAAGCATGGAGGATTCAGACATAAATAAAACAGAATCCTTGTTTTCAAGGAGTTCAAAGTCTCAAGGGCAAGACAGATCCAGAGAGGTGCCAGCCTTACTGCACTGCATAATATTTTATATTAATACACACACATTATCTATGTGTAGAGTACTTCAATATCCAGAAAGGAAACAAGTCTTTTCAGATTTACCTGTTATGATCTTAGTATTTCTACTGCAATTGCCAGTTGCTTGATCTTTACGCCCTGGGGGCTGTCTTTGGGGCAGAAAGTGTGGCAGTGTAGGGTTTGCAGGGATTCCGTTTGCATTCTGTGAACAGGTGATAATGTTTTTAATGAACTTAAGTTACATTCATTTTTTAATTGATACATAATAGATGTATATATTTATATTTATATAATATATAATCAAGTCAGGGCTTCAAATTATTCACTACTAGCTGTTTTGAAATATACAATAGATTATTGTTTACTATTTTCATTCAACTGATTTATTGAACACTAGTCTTATTTCTTTGATCTAACTGTATTTTAAGTCACACTCATTTCTGCCAAAGAGAATTCCTTGGACCCTCTGCATATATCCCTGAAACTTTTGAGGGTTCACGGACTCCCAGACTCTAAAGAGCTAGAAGAGGTTTTGGAGACCATTTCATCCATTTTCCCACGCAGGGAAAGAATCCTCTTTCGGCCGGGCGCGGTGGCTCAAGCCTGTAATCCCAGCACTTTGGGAGGCCGAGACGGGCGGATCACGAGGTCAGGAGATCGAGACTATCCTGGCTAACACGGTGAAACCCCGTCTCTATTAAGAAATACAAAAAACTAGCTGGGCGAGGTGGCGGGCGCCTGTAGTCCCAGCTACTCGGGAGGCTGAGGCAGGAGAATGGCGTGAACCCGGGAGGCGGAGCTTGCAGTGAGCTGAGATCCGGCCACTGCACTCCAGCCTGGGCGACAGAGCGAGACTCCGTCTCAAAAAAAAAAAAAAAAAAAAAAAAAAGAATCCTCTTTCTATGGTATTCCTGACACTCACTTTGTCTATACTGGAATATTTCTATGACCGAGTGCACTGTTTTTCTAGGCAACCCATTTCACACTCAACTGTTAATTTACAGATGGTTGGTGCATGGTATTTCTTGGAAGAATAAACTATATTGAGCAAAATTTCCTCCACGGATCCTTACTATCCTCTGCAGAGTACTAAGGAACAAATCTGTCTCTTTTCTACCCAAGAGTTCTTGAATGTTCAAAAGCTGAGTAGAGAACAGCTTTCTCTCCCCTGCACCTCCTCATCTCCAGGCATTCTGGGAAGATTTTTCAAACCTGTCTTCATGTGATGGCACATCCAGGCCTGACAGAGAGAGCCTGCCTTGTGGTTGTTCCTATTTTCTAGTTTTTTATGATCTCAAAGTAGCTACAGTTTCTAGAGTCCGGATTATGTTCTACTTGTTGCTAAGTCAGGCAGCGAGACCATGTCCTTTGATGTGCTCATTGCCTTTCTATTAATGCAGCCTCCACCAGCATTTGCTCTTTTGGGAGCCATCACAACACACTCACGATGGGCTCAGAGTCAGCTAAAACCACTAATTCCCAGAACTGGGTCCTCCACACGCTTGAGAACTAGGCATTCTAGCCAAATTGTAGGCAACAATATGTGGAGTTGGAGAGGGCAAAGTCAGGGAAGAGTGGCTGACATACTGTTAGAGAATCCCTTCCGGTTTACCTCTGCTTGCTCCATAAGGACCAAAACAAACAAGAGAAACAACAGATTTAAGTAACGGAACCAATCAGATAGAGCCCATGTTTGAAGACTTTCTTAGAACTCCTAGGTTTTACATACCGACCACATGTAGGTGATTAAATCGCTCAAGGACAAAGGACATTTCCATTTGCTGTTTCCACCGTTTGAACTTTTCCACTAAATGGCCTCCTGCTTTTGCCAAATCTCCACTTAAGCCTGGACAGTGAAGCCTGAATTAATATTGATGATGCTGTCGGTTGCTTAAGACATGTCAGAGGGGTCACAATTTTCCTAAGCTCTGAGGGACCGCTGGACATTTCCAATGCAGCAAATGTCACAGAACAGCCTTTAAAATCCCTCAAACTGTGCATTGTTCATCACTTTTTTAAGGAAAGATTTGCTAATATTGGGAATTTCCTCGGAGTGGCAGCTCTGGGTGTGTGATCTACATACACCTTAGCGTGCTTTTGTGTCAGGGGCTGGGCTCTGGTTGAGCGCAGAGGTGCCCAGGCATATGGGCTGGGTGGGAACATGGGTAATACCTGCCAGAGCCTCATCAACGCGAGGCGTGCGGTCGTGGACCCACTTATGACTGACAAGAGGACATGCAGCAAAGAAGAGAGAAGAAAGGGAGGAAGAAAGTCTCGCGTCCCAGTGAGGGCTGGGAGCCCAGTTCCAAGGTAGGTCTGATGAGTTCCTCAGAACCCCTCGCTCCCTGTCCTGCACTCAGCTGGAGTCGGCGATGCAAAAGCACCTTAACAGAAAAGTATACCGGAAAAGTTGGATTCCGGGGATGCAGTCGTCGCAAAAACTACAACTGTATTTTCCTTGTCTGTGCACCACCCTCTGCCTCTCTCTCTCTTTCTCTGACCCACACTCCCCAGTCTACTCTTGCATTCCGCACGCTTTTCATTCTCCCCCACGACCCCGTCGACCGGAAGCTTCTTGGCCTAAAAGAGCGCAGTCGGCCCTAGCTGGCTCGTACTCGCGCCGGACTGCACGCGAAGTACCAGCCTCCGCCGCCCTTACTTTGTTCCGGTGCAGGTAGGCGGCGGGAGGAGCTGCATGAGGACCGCGCGGACCGCCCGCCGCTGCGGGAGGCTGGGAGAGCCCGGCCGAGTGCAAGGGACGGCCACGCCCTCCTCCCGTCGCTATAGAAACGGCTTCCGCCCTTTTTGTGACTCTGGAGCTGAAAGGGCTTACTCAGGCTATGGTCCCAAACCACCTTGCCGGGTAGCGGCCTGAAGAACATACTTCTCGTCCTCCCACTCGCATTCTCTTGCCCCAGGTTCTTTAAAGCTTAGGGCAAGAATTGAACAAAATCTCAGCATAAAGAGCTTAAAGGTGGTTGCCCAGACCAGACACGTGAAATTCTCCCTCCTCTCCCCTTCTTCAAGCAAAGCATGTGGTTATCAGAATTACATCCCAAAAGTTCTGGCAGGGCGCGGTGGTTTTACACCTGCAATCCCAGCACTTTGGGAGGCCCAGGCAGACCACGTGAGGTCTGGAGTTCGAGACCAAACTGCTCAAGGTAGTGAAACCCCCCCTCTCCGCCCCTCCCCCCGTCTCTATTTGGACATTTTTTCTATAATCCCAGTACTTTGAGAGGCCGAGGCGGGTGAATCACGAGGTCAAGAGATCAAGACCATCCTGGTCAACATTGTGAAACGTCTCTACTAAAAATACAAAAATTAGCGGGGCGTGGTGGTGCGCGCCTGTAGTCCCAGCTACTTGGGAGGCTGAGGCAGAAGAATCGCTTGAACCCGGGAGGCTGAGGTTGCAGTGAGCCAAGATTGCGCCACTGCACTCCAGCCTGGCAACAGAGCGAGACTCCGTCTCAAAAAAAAAAAAAGGAAAGAAAAAAAGTACATAGCAAAAGTTCTGGGCAAAATCCATTTATCAGCTGAACACTTTTTGAGTGCTTACTCTGCACCAGATTGTAGGAAAGCATGAAAAGGGAAGTCTGTAATTGAATGACAGTAGGTTGACCTGGAGGAGCACACAGTCTGGTCCAGGCAGAAAAGACATTCAAATGAAGCTTTCTGAAAGAGCTAGGTTGAATTTGAGTCTTCAAGGACAGGTAGTAGTTGTCTACATAGGAAGCAAGTCCTAGTCTGAAGGCCAGAGCCATGGAAAAGCTTGGTACCATTGCACCAGCACCCAGTTTAGGGGGGCAGGGGTCAAAGGTGCACGTGGGCAGACAAGATTGCAGCAGCAGGAAGGGGCCAGCCAGACATGAAGGAGCCTATGAACTCGACCAGGGTAAGGCTGATGTGTGCGAACTACAGAGGGATGTTCATGCTGACTGTATTTTATAAAACCCTCTGTGGCAGTAACAGTGGGAGGTAAGCCTAAGTAGGTGAAGAATCAAGGCAAGGATGCCTGTTAGAAATAGTGAGTGATGATGTTTCAGAGTAAGGGAGAGCACAAGGAAGAGGAGTTTTGAGAAATTTAGGAAATGGAGTAAGACTTGGTGACTGGATGTGAAAGTCGAGAGAAGACTCAGTCCCCGGATTACACCTTTGGCACCTGCAGTGATGGTGGTGCCACTCACTTACCAACAGAAAACACAGGAGAGATGTCAGGGGTAGAAGGAGAACTTGAATTTAATAATGGATCTGCTACATCAAATTGTCAGTGGACCATCCACAGGTTTTGTGTCAAGAGCAAGGTGTAGGGTAAAGATCCTGACTTGGCAGTTACTGTCACATAAGTGACTACTGGAGTTTGCATAGAACATGAAACTGGTAAGACAAGTAGGTATAGATGACACAACAGATTAGAAAGCTGCAAAATAATGAAGAGTAGGCATGGAGATGGGAAGAAAATGACAAAGAAATGTGTCACATGAGCCAAGGAAATCAAGTTTTCATCAGAGTATAATGAATAGGGTATGTAAGATTCGATGAGAAAATTGTACACTGGGTTTGGCAACATAAAGGTATCGGTGCTTTCAGCCCGGCTGGTTTTAACATACTTTGAGGTAATTTTCAACCCCCACCCCGATAAACTATAAAGAACATGGCAAAAACAGATTGTTAAGCTGGTGCCAGATGACTAAACAATTATGTCAGTACCCAATATAGAGTAGGCTCTTATGTTTATTGTTGATCTACACCAAGTAGAGAACCTCAATGCTATGTAACTGAAAAATATGTTTTTAAAAAGGGGACAGGTAGGGCAGGTTAGGGGGCTGGTATATGACACTATAAAAATATACATTAGATACAAAAAGTGTACAACAGCAATAGACAAATGCTCACTTTAATCACAATTCTAAATTAATTATTTTCACATTAACACAGATATTATAAACCAAGGAAAACTGAGTTAAGTATTATACATTTTTTAACAGTTAACATGATTTGAAAATTTTTTATTAAAAATTGATCAGAAGCTAGTTGAAATTCTCAATGTAAATATAAACTATTCATTACAATTGTTTTTCAAAGTAAATTCAGATCTAAGCTTCCTGAAAAGCAGTATTATCTAATATCATAACAGGGATGACTAAGTACTTGACAACTACTTTCTAAAGAACTTAACAAAAAGTGACTACTTGAATATTATATTTACAACAAAAAGGCTAATATTCTCTGCAGACCTCTCATTTTATCATGAAATGTGGACGATCAGGAACAGGTGGATGAGTGGTATCAAGAAAAAGAGCATTTCAAAATATTTCCATTAAAGGTTTTGACAATTAAGATTTCATAAAATGTCTTTAAATTCTATTTTCTAGAGAATAACCATCTAACCAGGAGATACATGCCATAAAACTGCAACCATTTTAGTGTGTAAAATAATTCTGAGTTTGTACTATAAAAAGATTTGGCTAAAATACAAAACATCTTTGCAATAAAACTGATAATGTAGCTTAAGCAGCTTATAAGACTTCAGAAATGTCTTCTGAGAGAAATGAGAATGTTTCCCTCTGCCAGACGAAACTGAACAGTTAAAGTCAAGGTGCTATAAACCAGACAAAGCGAGAAAGGCACATCATGTAACTAGAAAAGAACAGCATGGGATGTGGACTTCCTCTATGTCGAACTGATAGAAAAACAGAATACGCTCTTCACAAGGAAAGGCATGAGAAGAGAACTCTTATAAACAAACTTCTCATTGAAGTCTTGAAGAGTTTTACAGAGAACATAATCATAAAATGCTAGAGCATTTATAGGACATGGTAATGGATTCCTTTATATTACAATACCTGCCTCAACTATAAACACAAATCAAATATAAACACCCTTGGAAAGCTGTGATTCTCTCAACCAAACATTCCTCTGGTACCACACTCAGCTGCTAGTGGCATTTGGATGCAAAGGTTTAACTCGTGCTAATCTGGACAAGCCAAGGCGGAGACTCTGATTTGGAGACTTCACAGACACTACCGCCAGTGGGCTGCTGCCATTTCTGCTACCTCCAGATGCCGCTGAAAGGAAACATATGTGATGCTGATGATGTCAGAAATCTCTTAACAAAGATTAATTTATAAAACAAGCAGCAAAAAAAACGTAGGTAAGCATTATTCTGCTTTCCAGGGTCTATCAACAATAAACTAGATCAAAAGAATAGAATGTTCTAAAGAGTAGAAATAATGCAGTATTGCCTATTTCCAAACGTCCCAGAAGTCAAGGTAATGACTCTAAAACCTCACCATGAAAGCTGAAAAAGGAAGGCTGGGAACAAATAACACTAGTTGTAAAGGCATAAAAAAATGCATACAATTATAATTTCTAAAGTAATAGAAAAAGCAAATGCATTTTTAAGGTCCTGCAATTTTTACAAGTAGTCCTTGAAGCGTCTATTTTTCAATTATTAAATACCTTTAAAAATAGTAAATACTGTTTTTATTTATACTAGTTTCATTTATATTATTACCCTAATGTAGCAATTATTTCCATCTATTTCAAAATTATCTACATTAATGTTCACAGTTGATGATGATGTAGTTGCTTGCCATAAATTTAAAATAAATCATTATACTTGCTACCCTATAACTCAGACTATGCTGCTTTATTTTCTAGTTTGAGAGGTAAAAAATAGTATTTTATTTTAATTTATACTTCCTTAATCACCAGTGAGACTGAAACTCTTCATATTTTCTAGTTGTATTAATAGTTCTTGAGGACACTGGTATATTTATGCCCCTGGCTAATTTTACTTTTGGGGTCTTGGTGGTCTTCTCCAGTTGTATAAGAGAGGTAACACACTGGCAATCTGAGGGCCAAATCTTGCTCTCAGATATATTGTTTTGGTTCACATGGTGCTAAAAAATAAAATAAAATAAAAATCAACTTACAAAAATTAGCAGATTTCATATTAAAATCTGGATTTCTGGCTTCTCTTGAAAAGAACAATCAATCAGATCTAGAAATACAGGGCCCATAATCTTGCATGGAAACAATAAGATGGAGCTGAGCAGCAGCTGCTTCCTTCAAAAGGGTACCCGCTCCTGAGTCCAACAACATTGCTACTCACACAAGTCGACAGCATGGGCCCGATTCACTCATTTACATCACTTGCCTGACTGTCACATGCTGATTTTATAAGCACTTTGTGCTTTAAAACATTAACTCTTTATCCATCATTCTACTGTTTCCTTGTATCTTTTTGATTATGCTACTTTTAAATTTCTATAGTCATATCATTTCTTTTAAATTTCCTTCATTGGGGAAGCACTAATTATTTTTAGAAATATACTAAGTATTACTCTTTGAACGATATGACATCATTATTTCCGTAATTAATCTTCCCTCCTTTCCTTCTCCAAAAAATTTTCAAGTCTTCATTAAAAATCTTAGAAGTTGTACATCAGAATGGACTTTAAAGATTATATTTGTTCCTAGTACTTCATATGATGAAATGAAGACTCTGTAAGTTAAGTAATCATGCAGCCTCACAGCTCAGGCCTAAATCTATGAATAGTAGTCAGCAGGGAAGTGAGCACTGTGGACCAATTAAGAGAGGCCACTCAAAAACAGGAGTAGAATTGGAAAGGCTCGGGCAAAGAGAGGGGACACATGAGGAAAGACATACCAGGCAGAGGAGGATAAAGAGAGGCCCAGAGAGAGGAACACATACAACATGTTTGAGAGACAGAAAGTGTTTCAATTTCACTGAAGTAGAGGGTTCATGTAGGTGGATGAGAGAAAGTAAAGACAGGACTGGTTAGGAAGGCAGCAACAATTTGGGCCTGGAATAGGGTTTTAGTAATGTCAAGAAGGGTGAAGGTCAAAGAATTCTTGAAGGATCCATGAGACTTGGCTGTGGAGCAAAAGAAAACAAAGAGAAGTGAAATTTGATTTTTAAAAGCAAGAGGTTGAGTTTGCCAGGGCATTTGTTAAATGCTAGAATTGCTACGTATAGATCCCAAGGCTTCAGTCAGACTGTGGAGGTAAGCAGGTCCTGAGCAAAAGATGTGCTGCCAGAAATACATACATCAGGAATCTCAAATGTTTATACCATTTAGCATGATAATTCTCCTACTAGAAATTTTATCCTAGGAAAATAATCAGTAATATGCTCAGAGATTTCTAAAATAAGGATCTCTGTGCTTATTGCAATCTTATTTATAGCACTGAAAAAATCATAAACCTGGATGTCCAATCATAAGGAATGGCCAAATGATAAATATATGCAACAAGTAGAAACTTTGGTTTTGAAGATTATGTAATAATATGGGGAAATGCTCACACATGGCATTTGTAACTAGGAGAAAAATTTACCAGTAATAATTTTCCAAGCTCCTACCCTTGATGATAAAAATGCCATACCTGGTGGGACCCATTTAGGTCTCTTGCTTTCAGCTGAAGGACTGCGTATTTGTAATGGTTTCCTAGTGGCGTCTGAAGAAAGAGAAACCTTTTTTGGCGAGGACTGAGATTCCGATTTGACAGCAGCTGGAGCAGAGTCCATCGAAGTCACTTATTTTAAAAATATACGTAAAAAAGTTTGTCATGCAGGAAGAAAAAGTAAGTCTAGCATGTATGTGTAAAAATTGTAAAGTTACATAATCATATAAAAAACAAACTTACTAATCAACAAACATTTACTAAGAGCCTAAGCCATCTTTTATGAGCATTAATATGCCAGGTAGTGTGGTAGGCATATCACACACATTACCTTTAACTCTTTACAACAACTCCAATACAGATATTACCATCCCCACTCTCAGAGAAGGAAACAGAGACGTTAAGCAATCTGCCTGTAGTCTGACAGCTAGTAAGCATCTAAGCTTAGAAACCAAATTTTCCTCCAAAATCCCATCCTGGTAACCAACCATTACACAATAGTGTCTCATGAGTATGTGTCAGTGAGATTATGTGTCAGGCTCTAGGATTAGAAACAGTATCTTTCATGGCTCCTGCTCCCAAGGACTTTAAGGTCTAGTCATAGGCTCTAGTGGGAAGAACAGGAAAGTAAAGATGTGTAAAATGTGGTGTGGTAAGGGACATGGCAGACTCTAGAGGTATGCCAAGTAGGAAAGGAAACTACAGTCTGGGGGTATGTGTTTTGAAGTTAGAGGGAGGTGAGTGAGGATGGTCTGAACCAAATCAAGATTGAAGAGTAAAGGTGAATTGAAGGAAGCTTTCCAGGCAGAGGGAGTATGGTGTGCAAAGATGGAGGATGCACCAAGTTCCAGGACCAGCAGTGCTGACTGGTTCAGTATATGGCTGGAGCAGAAATCTCAAGGGTAGGAAAGGTGAGACAGAAACAGGGTGTAGATCACTTATGAAGAGCTTTGCAGACCATGGAAAAGTCTAGCTAGTCACAATCATGCATACATTTTTCTCAGGAGTGATTTGTATTTTAAAAACATCTTTCTGGTGGTAGTGTAGGAGAAATAGGCCACTCAGAAGGTTATGGTAATCAGGTAAGAGGAAATGGGGGCCTACTAAGGTGGAGAATAGAAGGAAAACAGCACATTAGATATGTTTTGGCAAAAATAAGTGGGAGGCAGCAATGGAGATGAAGAAAGAATCCATGACTTGCAAGTTCCTGTCATGGGAACACTGATGGTGCCATTTAGCTAGAGAATGAACACAAAACTGGAAGTATGCTTTGGTTCTTATTTATTTTTTTTGGTGGTGGGGAGGGAGGAGAGGTGGCATATAAGTTCACTTTCAGATAGTGCTTGTTTTGAGATACCTAGAGGTATTTAAAGGCATATAAATACGAACATTTTCACCATATACTCTTCCTACTGTTAACATCTGCATCCTCTAGATCAGCACTGTCTGATGGAACTTTCTGTGATTATAGAAATGTTCTATGTTTTGCGCTGTCCAATACGGTAGCCACTAGCCATATATAGTTACTGTGCACTTGAACTGTGACTTGCAAAACCGAGGAACTGATTTTTAAATTTTACTTAATTTAATTAATTCAAATGTAATATAACCACACATGGCTAGAGGTTACCATATTGGACAGCACAGTTCTCAACATTTTTTTCTATCAAGGGAAAATTATAACGTGTGCTAGACACAATTCTCAAAGTTTACCCAATACATTACTAGTAGGACTAAAAATATAATCCATTTTTCCTAATTCCTAATCCTATCACTTAATGGTTAAATTTCATTTCTAATAGTATATATTAATCTCATTTGTGAAGCAATTTGCTCTAAGGGATAGAGAAAAGATTTTAAATGGTAAATTCCAACTTGGGAACTGAAATTTTATTTTTAGTTACTAGTGTGTCTTACTGAAGAAGCATAAACATGGAAAGAAAATACAAAATATATTCATGGTGCTAATAACTTTTTCCCATTATAGCTTGTGGTAGGCAGAATACTGGCTCCTCAGATGTCTACATCCTCATCACCAGAACGTGTGAATATGTTACCTTATGTGGCAAACAGACTTCGCAGATGTAATGAAGTTCAGAATCTTAGATGGGGAGATCACACTGAATTATCTGGAGGGGCCCAATGTAATCACACGGGTCCTTATAAGTGAATGTGAGGAGGAAGAAAGTCAGAGTCGAGTGACACGATGTGAGAAAGTCCCTGCCATTGCTCTCTGAAGGTGGAAGGGGCCACAAGCCAAGAAATGCACCCTCAAGGAGCTAGAAAAGGCAAGAATGTGGATTGTCTCCTAGAGCCTCCACAAAGGAGCACAGTTCTGCTGACCGCTTGGCTTTAGCCCAGTGAGAACCACTTTGGACTTCTGACACTCAGAACTGTAAAATAACAAGTGTGTGTTGTTTTAAGACAGACACTACATTTATGGTAATTTGTTGTAACAGTAATAGGAAACTAATATACTGTTTTAGCTCTAAAAGCCCTTGTATTTAAAATCTAATTTCTGGAACCCAGATGAAGTCATCAATTAAAAAAAACACTCTAATTAAAAAATCTCATTAATTCAAAATGCAGGAGAGAGAAGCATATAACTCAATCAGCACTTAGTTCTCATTTAATTCTCAGTAAGTACTCAGCAACAGGCTATTTAAGGTGACAGCAGTTCCTATGAATAAATGGAAAGACTAAATAATGGAACTTTTAATATCAATAGCATATATATTAAGTCAACCAAGACATAAAAATGACTATCAAGAAATAAAACAATTCAGTTAATAACAGTTACATTTTTGCAATAACCTATCATATACTGTGAACTCAAAAATATCCTAACTTCTTTTACACAAGAAACAGGTATTCCACGTTCGAGTCATCATCAATTTTAAACATTTTATCATAAAAGTAGTTTCTAATGGAATTTGTTTTTTTTTGGGGGGGAAGCCCTAAACATGTGGCAAAAGAGCTCTTAAATCAGACTAAGTAAAGTCCAAAAGCAAAAAATTAGAATCATGCAAACTTCCTTGTTTTGCCTGGAGAAAATATGGTCCAAGATACAGCTTAGACTCTGAATGGACAAACATGGGTTCAAATTCTAGCCCTTCGTCTAGTAGATGTAAGATTTCCAACAAATTATGTAACCTCTCTGACACTCAGTTTTTCACTGTAGAATGTAGGTGACAACAGCTACCACAGAAGGCAGCCATTAGTACAAAGCAAGGTCATATATACTAAGTGCTAGCATAGGCAGTGGAGTCAGCATTCTTGTCTGCTTTTCTCCCTTCCCCACCCCTACCTTCCTTTTACATATTTTAACGAGAAATGGACATTAGGAAAATGTTAAAGAGAACAAAAGCAAAAATAAGAAAAATACAGCACATAAACCACACACATTTCCTTTATAAAATTAAGTGTTTTGGACCAAGCTTACCCAAAGCACTACATTTGGATTTAGATTTCTTCTCTTTCTTTTCTACTGGGGATTTTACCTTCACTTCTTTCTTTTTAATTTCTTTAACTTTACTTTTTCTCATAGAGAAGTCTTCGTCATTATCCTCACTCTCACAAAAATCAGAATCATCCTCAGAATCTTCACCTAAAACAGAAGATTACATAGTTCATCTTTGCTCTAAAAAGTGAGGATTCTGTTGCCTTAACTTTATCCACAGCTTTGGCAGCAGATTCTTATGCACCTTTGTGCTGCACTGTTTCCAGTAGCAGAATACTGCAGTGGTTGACATTGTGAGTGCCTGGGTTTGAATCCTTGCACAGGTCACTAACTTCACTGAGCCTCAGTTTCCTCACCTAGAAAAGGGGGATAACCATAAACCTCCATCAAAGGGTTGTTGCGTGGATTAAATGAGTTAACATATATAATGCATTTAGAATAACATCTGGCATATACCGAGCAAAATATCATTGTTTGCTATTACCACCATCACTAGAAATTTCCCATCAGTAATCTTTGCTTCAGATTTTACCATTTTACCTCAGTAACTTTCAAAAAGATTGTAGGGTTTGACAACAGCTAGTCTTTTAAAACAATGACATTTATGATAACAGCGAGCCTTCCCTTAACCACATAAACTTCAACATTCTGGACCAGACCAAATAAGAACTGAGATAACCATACACAACAATCTTAGCAGCTAGTCCTAGAGCTGATTTCATTTGGGACAAACCTTTATTTCTCAAAAATGCTTTTCTGCACTTCATGGGAAAATATAAGCCAGTGATCTAATTTTGAAAGTGCTACAGCTGCTCTGGGAAAAAGCATGTTCCAACCTGATAGTTAAGCAATGATCTTTCTATTTTTTGAGGGGGTTAGGATCAGAAAACCATGCCTTTAGATAAACTCTGAAAACTAAGTGCAAATAGTGTTAGTCCTATATTCATATAAAACTTTTTTACATTTTTAATATTATGAACATGCTTATTGCAGAAAATGCTTAAATCAAAAAATGTGCAAATAAAATGAAAAATAAAAAGTACATGCTTATTGTAGAAAATACAGTCCGTATAAAAATTTATTTTAAAAAATCTACTTTAAAGAAATCTCGCCACTCAGAGATAACCACTATTATCCCCACATACTAATATCTACCTATCTATATGAAATATTTTATGTAAAATAAAAATCACATAAAATTTTCAAACCTATACCACAGTAGACAGTAATAAACCACCACCTAGATTCAACAATTATCAACATTTTGCTCCATTTGTTTCATCTATCTCGCTTTTCTTCTTCTCTTCCCTTTTTGTAGTACATTAAAATAAAAGCAAGGCATCATGTCATTACATTCCTACATACTTCAGAAGGTATCTCTAAAAAACATGAGCATTTTGTTACACAACAATGCCATTATTACATCTAGCAATACCAACACTAGTTTCTTGGTATCGTCTTCTATTCAGTCTATATTAATCTCTTTTAATATAGAGCAGTATCTTCTCCCTGTCCTCCCTTGTGTCTGACTTGCTGAAGCAGTTGAGTCAATTGTCCTGTAGAATGTCCAAAATTCTGGATTTGTCTGTTTTCTAGCTCATGGTGTCATTTAACTTAATCTTGCTTTTTTTTTTTTTTTTTTGAGATGGAGCCTCACTCTGTCGCCCAGGCTGGAGTACAGTGGCACAATCCTGACTCACTGCAACCTCTGCCTCCCAGGTTCAAGCAATACTCCTGCCTCAGCCTCCCAGGTAGCTGGGATTACCGGTTCACAACACCACGCCCAGCTAATTTTTGTATTTTAGTAGAGAAGGAGTTTCACCATGTTGGCCAGGCTGGTCTCCAACTCCTGAACTCAACTGATCCACCCACCTCAGCCTCCCAAAGTGCTGGGATTATAGGCGTGAGTCACCGTGCCCAGCCATATTCTTGCATTTTATGTGAACTGGAATTCTGCTCTCAAGGCTTGATTGGATTCAGGCTCACTTTTTTTGGGGGGGAAGGGGGAGGGCAAGAATATACTTCATAGGTATATTCTCTGTACTTCATATTACATCACATCAGAAATCATATAATGTGTGGTTGTCCCTCTCTTAGGTGGTTCAGGTGATGCCAGCCTGAATTCATCATTGCAAAGATCATTATCAACCTTCCATTGATGACCTTTACCTAAATCAACAATGTCATTTATGGGCTGGGCACAGTGGTTCACCCCTGTAATCCCAACACTTTGGTAGGCCAAAGCAGGTGGATCACATGAGGTCGGGAGTTCGAGACCACCCTGGCCAACATGGTGAAACCCCATCTCTACTAAAAATACAAAAATTAGTCAGGTATGGTGGTGCACGCCTGTAATCCCAGCTACTTGGGAGGCTGAGACATGAGAATTGCTTGAACCTGGGAGGTGGAGGCTGCAGTCAGCTGAGATCGTGCCACTACACTCCTGCCTAGGTGACAGAATGAGACTCCGTTTCAAAAAACAAAACAAAACAAAAACAAAAAACAATGTAATTATGATCTTCAAATTGCAATCTCCTTACTCTATCATTGTTCCCACACAAAATTTTAAAATAATCAACTCACAAATTCACATAATGGCTACTGTGCTATATAGAATTAGCCCAAAAAAGGCCAGCAGATCACATGAAGGCTGCTGGAAATTCAGCCTGCAAATTCAAGTAATCCCAAGAGGCTCTCAGTTCAAAGAGGGCAAGTAATGGAGGAAGTTTCTCCAAACTTTCAGAATATATAATCTAGAACAAAACTTTCTGTATATCCAATAGCTCTGATACTGCTTGTGTTCAGTAGAAGTCTTAAGGATTCTCTTCTTGGCTTAAGAGGATAATCAGTAGGAGCTGGCTACATTTCTGTTTAACAAGCTTGTTCAGAAATGGGGTCCAACTAATCTTCGTCAGTCAACTGAGAAAGCAATTTAAATAAAATTAGAGATCGGGAGTCGGAGTTCCCAAAATTCCAAGTCACTCGCATCCCATAGAGGAAAATCTGGAAGGCCCAAACACTTCAGTTATGGATTTTGTTAGAGAAAAGACTTACCTTCTCTGCTATTTTCTCTTTTCTTTCCCTAATGAAGGTCACACATGGTCCTTTCTATTCTCATCCAGGGCAAGCAAATGCAGGGGGAAAACTGAAACGTCACTTTGGGGCTGCTTCTACTTCTTGGCTATTATGGATAATGCTGCTATGAACATAGGTATGCAAATATCTCTCTGCGAGCTTGCTTCCAATCATTTTGGATATATACTCAGAAGTGGATTGCTAGATCATATAGATAGGTTGAGTATCCCTTATCTGAAGTGCTTGGGACCAGACGTGTTTCAGGGTTCAGATTTTTTTTGGATTTTGGAACATCTGCATTATAACCAGTTCGGCATTCCAATTCCAGAAATCCAAAATGCTCAAATGAGTATTCCCTTTGAGCATCACATTGGCGCTCAAAAAGTGTCTTTGCATTTTCCTGTCTCCCCGGTTCTCCCAAAGTAAAATAAATGCAAGTCTTTTTTCATTTATTTCGTTTGTTCCAGAAGGACCGGAGCTGTTTGTTTTGTTCACTATTGTATCCCTAGTATCTAGAATATCATGCACATATAAAGCATTCAAATATTAGAATAGGTGATGATGAGCAAATCTGTTATTTGTTGATAGTATATCAAAATCTAAAATATGGTATCTTGATTTGGCCTAAATTTATCAACTTATGAATATAAATTTTTAAATAATATGTTATAATGTTCTGTCAAGGTCACTACACTTTCCATTTGCCCAATTTCTAAATGGGTCTAAAAACCATCACAATAAAATACAGATTTCATATCACGTCTGCCTCAGAATAATTCACGGATTTCTACCACCTACAGGAAAAAAAAGCCTACACTTCTTAAAGTGGGTCTGAGACCCTCCATGATTAGCACCGGCCTCCCTCTAGAGCCTCTTCCACGTTCATCAAAGCAAGCCTCACTTACAGACAAATAGAGCATTTGTCTATTCCACGGGTAATGCCTTTCTATCAGTCAGAAATGCTACTTCACACCTTTAGTTTGTTGAAACACTACTCATTTTTCAAGGCATAGCTTAAAGGTTAACTCATAGAAAAAACTTTTTCCCCAAATGCTATCACTGAATTAAACTGTTCTGTGTGTCCCTGAAGTTTGTACACCCCAAAGGTTTAACACAGTGCTTTGTACAATTAATGGCTTCCAAGAACTTTTTTGACTAAATTCCCATAGAATTAATTTCGAAGTAGGATAAAACCTACCAGGTGCAAAGTCTGGTTCAATGTCATTAGCACTATCACCATCACTGCCTTCCAGAAGAATCTTCCTCTGCTGTACTGCAGCTTTAGATGCTGCTTTTCTTTTCCTTTGAACATCACCACTATCATCTTCCACAGTAATCTTATCCAAATCTTCAGGAGAGGCATAAAAATCAATGGAAAACTTTCTGTGACAGCTGATATTTATTTCAAGAACTGCAGAGCAGACTCTATTACAGCTATTGTTTTTATTTGCCCAGGTTCATCCCTCCCCTACTTCTATTTACTAGCCCCCTGGGTCAACCATGGTACATCAGTGCTCTGGGAACACCTCTAGTTTTAGGAATAAATCCAAGACCCAAACAGAGATAATATTTCCCCCAAAATTTTCAAACTAGAATTGGGAATACGTAGCCCCTTTCTTCAAAGGTCAATTGCTCCAACTAGAAGCCATAGGTAGTTATGAGCCTTCAGGGAAGAATATGTGTCTGCAGTAAGACAGAATGAGACTAAAACACAAAGAAATAAAGGCCATGACATCAAGTGAGTCTTGACAAATTTAAAGAATTTGCTTCTAGCCACAATTTAAATAAAGGTCAGAAAAACAGCATTGTTGATGAAAAAAATTAATATAAAAAACTTACCTAAATAATCACTGGCTACACTGCAATTAGAGATATGAGGAGACTTATTCATTGTTTCTATTTTACTACTGCCATGTTTTTCAATGCCTAAATATAAAGAATAAGAAAGAAAATTCAAATGTATCTTAATCAAATAATGTCTAGAAATAGGAAAATTAGTACTAAAATGTAATAGCATTTAGATATAGATAAATGATCCCAAACTCAAACTAGCACAATAATTTTATTCAGAGAGACTAACATATGGTTAGAAGTCTGGGCTCTGAAATTTAACATACTTATGTTTAAATTCAGGCTGTACCATGTAAACTAGCTATATGACCAAGGGCAAGTTGCTTATCCTAAGACTTAATTTCCTCATCTATAACGTGGAAATAAAAATAGTGTCTTGCCCAGTGGTATTACAGAAGACCAAACGTGGATCTCACATGGGAGTTGCTTATTATTGTGCCATGCACAGGAAATGGTCAATGAATTTTAACTATCAACCCTGTGTAGGCAAATCCATGTTTTTACTAACATAAGAACTCTCCAATCGTTATAATAAGCTTAAGATGATCCAAAGCATTCTAAGAGGACTTTAAGACATAATAGTGGTACTATTAAATTCCAGTGCTACAAGGCACATTATTTAATAAGAAGTCGCATAATATTAATACTTCTAAGGAAGTCCCCTTATACATTCTACAATGTCTTAAAAGAGAGAGATGAATTTCAGTGCCTCCATTTTAAATGTAATTTATGACAATTCTCTTTTGGTGTTTCTTTGATTCTTGGTTACTAAAAGTCTTCCTAATCAAACTTTCGTTTCTTGTTTTTTTTTTTTTTTTCTTTTAGGAATTTAAAATTTTATTTTTGCTTTATGATTGTGGGAAATATTTACATGGTTTCAAAGTCAAATTTACAAGAAAAAGGTATATTCAAAGAAATGTAGCTTCTGTTACTTTCATTTCTTTTTAAAGAGGAGGCGGCCAGGTAAGGTGGCTCTCGCCTATAATCCCAGCACTTTAGGAGGCTGAGGCAGGAGGACTGCTTGAGGCTGGGAGTTTGAGGCCAGCATGGGCAACAAAGTGAGACCCCTCTCGACAAAATAAAAAATTAGCCAGGCATGGCGGCACATGCCTGTAATCCCAGCTACTCAGGAGGCTGAGGCAGGAGGATTGCTTGAGCCAGGAGGTCAAGGTTGTATTGAGCCATGATCAAGAAACTGTATTCTGGCCGGGCACGGTGGCTCACGCCTGTAATCCCAGCACTTTGGGAGGCCGAGGCGGGCGGATCTCGAGGTCAGGAGATCGAGACTATCCTGGTGAACACGGTGAAACCCCATCTCTACTGAAAATACAAAAAAAAAAAAAATTAGCTGGGCGTGGTGGCGGGCGCCTGCAGTCCCAGCTTCTAGGGAGGCTGAGGCAGGAGAATGGTGTTAACCCAGGAGGCGGCAGAGCTTGCAGTGAGCCGAGATCGTGCCACTGCACTCCAGCCTGGGCAACAGAGCGAGACTCCATCTCAAAAAAAAAAAAAAGAAAAAAGAAACTGTATTCCTGCCTGGATGACAGAGCGAGACCCTGTCTCAAATTAAATAAAGAGGAGTACTCATTTAGAAAACATAGGAAAAAAGCCCCATGTATACCCCTAAATAAGATAATAAGCTAAAATATCCCCCAACATAAAAACTTTAAGCCAAAAAGCATTTTAGCAGTAGAGTATCTTTTTCAAGAATAATGATTTCTGCCTCTCTAGAATATTAATGTATCATCTGCTGCATAGTTGCCAGAAAAATCAAACGAGAAAATCAGCAGAGAAATCCAGAAGCCATTCTTCTAAGTCGACTGAGCTTCCTAACCAAATTAATACCTTTGACCTTTGTAAGAAATAAAAATTACCATAATTAGAGCATGTTCAACTGATCTGGAAAAAAACAAGATGGACTGTTAGGACTATACAGATCAATCCATTTGATGAAGAAATTAAATGTTCACTGTACAACAACATGCAATGTGAACAACGAGGCTCACAGTCCACACCCTCAAGCTTGCTCTGGGGGTGAAGCAGAGATGTATATCTGTTTGTATGAGATTTAGGCAGCTGAATTAAGAACTAAATCTAGTTGTATCCTCTGCAAATGGGTCTATTTATAGTGCAAAGTATTCACGTTTTACTCTTTCCTCTGTGAAGGCCCACCCAAAGAAATAGTTACAAAGGCATTAAGAAGGTTTTAAAGCTAAATATACAGAAAATAAAGTTACTTTTATCTTGAGACTTCTGCACATTAGTGGTGACTGTTGGAAGTTCCTTCACTGACAAAGCTAGTGCAACTTCTAAGTCTCTCTGGTAGAGTTTGTCATCTAAAGCCATCCTAAAATAGATACACAAGTAATAATGAGTTCTTCAAAATATCAGTCGCAACTAAAGAGCAAAGTTTGAGATTTCCCTAAATTACTAACCAAGAGTTGCTAACCTCACAAAAATGTTTTTAAACAATCATCATTATTAATAGATCTTTGATGATAAGACTCCTAAAATGTCACAGTATCACGTTATATACACAATAAGAGGTTTGAAATAGGAGGAGCAGGTGCCTCTTTGCAATGACTGTTGTGTCACCTACCAGCTGTGTCCAGGTGGGAAACACCTACTCAATCCAAAACAGACTTGGTTCAAACATCACTTCCACTTAAAACTCTTCCTTGACCTCACCCACTCCCCTTTAGCAGATATTATAGCTCTTACATTAAATTAAAATTATTATCTTTTTTTTACATCTATTCTTCCCAATCCAGACTTTAACAAATATATTACCAAGCACTTACTTTGTACAAGGCACTGCACTAGCTGGAATACTAAAAGTACCTTCAGGGAGTCTGCAATTAAAGGAGGAGGGTGGGGAAATAAGACAGGCTAATAATTATACTATAAAAGGCAGATCATAAAGTCCTATTCAAGTTGGTCAAATAGAGTATAAGAGGAAAAAAACATCAAAGAAAGATAAGGAAAAGTTACATAAAAGAAGCAGCACTGAGACGTACCTTAAAGAATTTATTTTTTTAGAATAACAATTTTCTTAAGATATAATTCACATATCATAAAGTTTACCTTTTAAAGTAAACAATTCAGCAGTTTTTAGTACATTCGCAGAGTTGTAAAACTACCATCACTACCTAATTTCAGAACATCTTTACTACCCCAAAAAGAAACACCATACCCATGAGCATTCCCTTCCTGTTTACCTCTCTCCCAGCTCCTAGCAGCCATGAATCTACTTTCTGTTTCTATGGATTTGCCTATTCTGGACATTTCATGCAAATGAAATCGTATAATATGTGACCTGTATATCTGGCTTCTTTCACTCAGAATGATGTTTTCAAGGTTCATCCATATTACAGTATATATCAGTTATCAGTAGTCATTTCCTTCTATGGCTGAAAAATATTCCATTTTGTGGATACCACATTTCACTTATCCATTCATTAGCAGATAGACATTTAGATCGTCTCCATTTTTTTTTTTAGCTATTATGAATAATGTTGCTATGAACATTCATGTATGGGTTGTGTGGGCATATGTTTGCATCTCTCTTGGATACATACATGGGCTGGGTCATATAACTCTATGTTTAACATTTTGAGGAACTGCTAAACCATTTTCCAATGGTTTGGCTGCACTATTTTACTTTCCCACCAGCATACAGGAGGGTTCAAATTTCTCCACATCCTTGTCTTTTTTATTAAGTCATCTAGTGGATGTGAAGTATTATCTCATTTGATTTTGATTTGCATTGCCCTCACAGCTAATGATGTGGAGCACCATTTCATGTGTTTATTGGTTATTTGTGTATCTTCTCTGGAGAGTCTATTCAAATCTTCTCCGCATTTTAAATTGTGTGGTTAGTTTTTTTACTGTTGAGTTTTACGAGTTCTGTGTATACTCTGGATACAGTCCCTTATCAGTTATCTGATTTACAAATATTTTCTCCCACGTGTGGGTTCCTTTTTCAATATATTTAAAATGTAATACAAGAAACTCACAAACAAAAACCAAAAAAAAAAAAAAAGAGCATGACATGAGGTAAGTTTCTCCATGCTAACTTTTCATAGAGAAACTTGTAGCAGTAAAACATTACATATGCCATGTTCCATTTGTTAATATTCCTCTTCCATCCATTTCTTCTCCATACTGCAAGTTTTGGGTCTCTAAGGACTTCCTTCACTCCTTTCTCCCTCTTGGTACTATCTAATGGAATTCCAATGGTTAGTCTAGAAACTATAGGAACTTCTCATTGCTAGATAAATCTTAACAATATGGGGAGAAGACATCTTTTTCTGCCAAAAAATACATGGTTTTATATTTTAAAGATTGTCCTCACATGAAGTTATCTTATGTCTTAATCATCTTAGTCATCTAATGTCATTTTTAGCAAAGTAGTATGATTTGAGGACTTCAGAGGCAAGTGCTGGGTTCTGTCAAAACCAGTCATAACATCTAAATTCCACAATCGTTATTGTTTTAATATTTAATGATATTTTCTTATATGCTTGTGAATTTCTTTTTTTTTTTTTTTTTTTTTGAGACAGAGTCTTGCTTTGTTGCCCAGGCTGGAGTGCAGTGGCACGATCTCTGCTCACTGCAAGTTCTGCCTCCTGGGTTCACGCCATTCCCCTGCCTCAGCCTCCTGAGTAGCTGGGACCACAGGCGCTATTATTACAATTTTTTCATATTTTTTAGCAGAGACAGGATTTCACCAGGATGGTCTCGATCTCCTGACCTCGTGATCCGTCCGCCTCGGCCTCCCAAAGTGCTGGCATTACAGGCATGAGCCACCGCGCCCGGCCGACTGTGAATTTCTTTAAGTCAGAAAGCCAGAAAAAAATAGTACATCCTGTTTTCTGACATGCACCTAGTAAAATAAGACGTATGACTCTGCTCAAGTTCTAATTTAAACCAAGGATTTGAATCTGTGTCTCTTTAAAATTAACACATCTAATATCATATATTTACTGCATGTCTTACCTCTCACCTTTTTTTAGGGGTTTTCTCTTGTACTGGGATTTCTTCTTTCTGGAGATTGCTCAAGTTAGGTTTTGGTTGATCTTGTTTTAACTCCCTTGGTGTTGTTCTGGATTTCTTGTTTAAAGGTACAGTTGCAGAAACAAAATCATCTATTCATGTGAGAATTAAAACCAAAATAAAAAGATTTTTTTTTAGTAAATGAAAAGCATTACAATGTGTGTTCAAGTTTTTATAGGCTAGGCAAATTGTTTAATTTCCACAACTTAAAAATCATTGTTAGTATTTTGTTTATCTTTATTCTCATTCATCTATTTCAACTTTTGTTTTTATGCCCTTTATATTTAAAAATATCAGTCTATCAAAAACCAATTCACTAAAAACTGCAAAAGCAATTAAGACAGCATATAAATGTCAAAGACAAAATGATTAAAAACCTGTAAAACCATTAGAAAAATTGTAGAATTTAATCACATTGAAAAGTGGAAATAAAATATTTTTATTGGAACTTCACAATGTAGCCAAATATCTTTTTTCAAAGCCCATTACCTGGGCCAGGCACAGTGGCTCACACTTGTAATCCCAGCACTTTGGGAGGCCAAGGCGGGCAGATTACCTGAAGTCATGAGTTCAAGACCAGCCTGGCCATCATAGTGAAACCCTGTCTCTACTAAAAAATACAAAAATTAGCTGGGCATGGTGGCGGACACCTGTAATCCCAGCTACTCAGGAGGCTGAGGCAGGAGAATCACTTGAACCCGGGAGGCAGAGGTTGCGGTGAGCCGAGATCGCACCATTGCACTCTAGCCTAAGTGCAAGAGTAAGACTCCATCTCAAAAAGAGAAAAAAGAAAAGTCTATTACCTATTCCTAGTACATTAACCATGCTAGAGAAAATAAGAAGTATTATGGGGGAAGAGAAAGTAGCTCCTATTTGAGGATTTTTACAATAGTAGTATTTTCTCTTTCCATTACCATAATGATCTTCCTATGATCCTACCAGAGTAACTTCTTATTTTCTGGCAAAAGGATGTTCTTTTCCAGTCCATTACTGTTTCTCACAGGTTTTTCTGTCTTACCAATCCTCAGAACTGTTGTAGTTCTACTCTTGACTGTCAACGTAAAACTAGTACTGTGGCTTTTCAACATGTATACAACACATACATGCATACCTTCAGGGTCTATGTAGTCTTAATCACATACTCAGCAAGCACGAATACTCGTTGTCTCTTATATGCTTCCCCATGTAAAAATAAGTTAACTTATGACTCCCCCCACCTACTGCCACCCCCCACCTACTACACACCTGACGATTTATAAGTATCTGGTGATAGACTGACGACAGTAAAAAAAAAAAAAAAAATCTAGATGTTATAGTCTATACTGTTTTTCCCAAGTGGTAGATACAGTTAAGGCTGTGCTCAAGGCAAAAACAGACTCCTTCAAACCGAAGACTTCCGAAACATCTGACTTACAGAAAACTCTAGTGGTCTGAGAAAGAAATATTAAATCTACTTCAACATATAACACAATCTAATGCAATGTTCCTCAAACTTTTCAATCATAGCAGAGTCAAGTAAACATATGACTAATGCTTAAAAGGCATAACATAAGCCTAACCTTTCTTCAAGGTCGTGTTTTATATTACAATTAATATGGATTTTATATAATATTCTGTAACATCTTTGTATCTCAAAAAGACAGTGTTTTCCTTCTTCGGGGATGGGACAGGAAACAAACCTCTATGTGAGAACTATTGACTTAGAGTAGTTTAGATCTAAAAAGACTTTTTACCTGGCCCTGTTCATTTATCACCTACTAACATAATTTTTATCAGTATAATTATCAGCATAATTATCCCAAATAACTAGAAAACTATGTTTCAAGACCTACTTCATTTGGGCAATGTAGTCAGTATTTGAGCTATATATGCCATATAAATTCTGAGGAAATGAGTTTTCAAATCTTTAGAGCAAAAATAAGAAGCTTTACTTACCATCACTGTCAGAGTGGTCAAACTGTGAGTAATTGACTGGTTTCTTATGTCTATGATCAAAACAGAATTTTTTCATTAACACAAATGTCAATTTCTCACCTCTATTACTTAAGGCTATTAATGAATATTATTTATTTAATATTTATTTTAATACTATTCATTTATTAATAGTAAGTAATGAATAAATAAGTGAAATAAATAAAAATGTGTTAAATAAATGAAATGTGTTTGAATGAATGAAAATGTGTTTGGGCTCTCGTAAGAACATTTAAATCTAAAACATGATTTGCATTTTACTGCAGGCACTTATCATTAGCTAAAAGAATTACAACTATACCTGATATACCTGGGTATTGTTGGCTTTTCAATTATATGATAAAGGAAAAAAACTCAGATAACTTACAAAGAATAATCCATAAAATTAACATTTATAATTTCTATACTGTTTAATTGCTGTTGGGCATCTGTAAGTTCCCACTGTATGTATTCTTCTGTTTTGTGTGTGCCTTCTATCTTCCTTACGAGATTATAAATTTCTTGACACTAAAAGCTACTTTCTTTTTTTTCAGTCTCTCCACAATACCAAATAATGTTTTTATGCAATGGACACCTAAAAATGGTGAGTGACCTTGTTCCTGCCACCTGAGATGAATCTTTATACAGGCTGAGTATCCCTTATCTGAAATGCTTGGAACCAGAAAAGTTTTGAATTTTGGATTTTTTCAGATTTTGGAATATTTGTATTATATACTTACCAGCTGAGCATCCCAAATCTGAAGACCTAAAATCTAAAGTGCTCCAATGAACATCTCCTTTGAGTGTTGCAGGTACTGCAAAAGCTTCAAATTTTGGAGCATTTCAAATTTGGGATGCTCAACCTGTACTACTTTAGAAAGCATTAGAAGAAAATGATATTCAAAGTGAAAAAAAATAATTTTTTTCCTCCCTCCTCTAGGCACTAAATAAAATGTTTTTCTAGTTTTTATTTCTATATTTTGACAAATGGTCAAATGTGAATAACCTAATTTGTCAGCTGGTTGTTCTTTCAAGTAAAAATAATGTTCTATGAAAAAGAGGTAAGCTCAGCTCACAACTCAGACAATCTCACAAGTGCTTTTCCTTGAGATAACTATCACACATCAGTATGTAGAAGTGCTTTATGTGTACTTCCCATTTCCTCACACAAAATATTAAAAAGTGCGCTCATATCACTCTCTTACTCTTCAGAGTTAAAGAATTTAGAGCTGAATAAAATGTGAAAACTCCTTTAGAAATTCTGAACTTGAATAACAGTAAAATAAAATCAATAGCCTATTTTTAAAAAGGAAACTTAAGGATTAAGCTATGATGAATATAATAATTTCCACTACTTCATCAAGCATATCCTTAACTGAAATTTTTTTTTTTTAACTCTTGAGAGTATGGCAGTAAACAATGCAAAGACTAGTAGTACAATTTAGTGCCACTGCCTTAATTGTTCTGAGGTGCCAGCAGTTTTATCGTCACTGCAGTGCAAATGACAAAGCAGCGAAAAAGGCAAATCATGTCTTAGTATTGTTATTAAGAGTTTTGACCTCAGAGACCTCTAGAGAAGTTTCCAGGGACCCCCAGAGATCTGCAGACCATACTCTAACAACTGTTCCATACAAAGGGATTATGACTTCACTGCCTGGATGCTTAAAATCCATTTCAAATTCAGCATGTTCGAAACAGAAATCTTGATCCCTCACACCTCCTGACCTTCCTTTTCCTAGTCTTCCCTATCTTAATACAAAGATCATCCATTCTGTAGCTCAGACCAAAACTATTGTGGAGACATCTCTGATTCTTTCTTTCCCTTACCTGTACATCTACTTCATCAGCAAGTTCTTTCTGCAGTGCCTCCGAAATACATCCCAAATTCATCTGTTCCATTCCATGCCCAGCGATGACACCCTATCCCAAACCACTCTCCAATGATATAATAGCCTGATTTCCTTGCTCCCATTCTGGTCACCCCATCCATCATTTATTCTCCACCAGCAGCCAGTGACCTTTACAAAAGCAAACTTAGATTTCTCTCCCCTACTTAAAACCCTCCACTGACTTCCCATTGACTTAAAATAAAACCTAAACTCCTTTCTAAGACTTACAAGACCCTATCTGTTCTGGCACCTGCCTATTTCTCTGGCCTAATCCCCTACGATTCTCCCCACTGTTTCTTAATCCTACAGCTTTAGACTGACCCTAAAATATGGTCAAGTATGGGGCCTTGGCTCCTATTTCCTCTACCCTGATTCATGACTCATTGCATGTAATATCGCCTCAAAGTCACATACTAACTACTATATTTAAAGTAGTGCTTTCCTCCTTCGCACTCTATCATATTTCGAGGCTTATTTTCGGCCCCCTAACCTCACCTCCCACTAGAATGTAACCTCCAGCACCTCATACATTAAAGAAGTGAATATATTCAGTAATTTTACTAAATGAATGGCTAACCGTAGGCTTCCATGGCACTCAACTGTGTAAATAGAAGAATCGTTTCTAACACATAATGGAAAGCACACAGGATCTGGAGTAAGATGACTTAAGGTTTGAGTATTGCCCTGTCACTTAGTGGGTTGTATGACTCAGGTAACTTACCCTTTATACGTAGAAATGTTAAATCAATAAAACAGGAATGCTTCCTCTTTCTATATCCAATAACTACAGTGATGAACAAATAAAATTACACATAATGGGCGCTCGGTGAAATGTAAAGCCCTGTTCAAACGCTAACATAACAAGGTCTTGGTAAAAGAAACGGCAACGGCTGTGACGGGAGGCAAAGAGAAGGGAAAAGCTACGATGCTAGGATACTTCTGGAGTATCACTGGAGACTGGGTTCTCGATAACCGTGCATTCTAACCGCACTATCGCTGCCCTCCGGTCTTACTCGATCCTTTCCCCTTAGTCTAATGTCTTTCCCCTTAGTTTTCCTCCCACCCCCGCCGAATGTCAGGAACTACGCACCTCACGGGTCGCACCATGGTCCCTTTCAAGGCTTGATATTTACAGTTCTCAAATTCTTGTTGGCTTCAGCGGCGGTTTCAATTCGCGCCCAAAACCAGACTTCGGCGCCCTCCGCCCCCTGTTACCAGTCGTCCAATCATCACCAGCCATGCTTGCGGCGGCGCACGCGCTGTGGGGAAAGCGAATTTGCTCCCGCCCTTCCTAAGGCACCACCTTTCCGTATCCGGTCCACCAGAGCCGAGTTTGTGCTTTGTCTCTGCACTTTCGTCACAAGGGCGGGTTTGCGCTGTCTCTGAAATACAGAATAACAGTAGAAATACACCTTATTGCCCTTTTCAAACGGTTAAATTGCAACAGGTTGGGACCTACGGGCACTTGGACTGAGAAATTTTCTATAAGATGCCAGGAAATAGAAATGGTTGTGGCGAATCTGCCGTCGCGGATCCGCGGGCTGGAAAGTGTAAGTGGGCAAGTCAGCTGGTTTCCCAGCGCAGGACGCGCTGACAGCTCGAGTGAGCGGACTGCTCAGGACTTCGGAACTAGGCGAGGTGAGCCCAGAACGGAGTGAGGACGCCCTTTCAGATTGACACCCGTTGCAAAAGGATTAGTCCCCTCACCCGGTTGAAGTTTCTCAGCTCGACTGTCTGCCTGCCTTTTGCCTAATGTGGGCCTCAGAGCCTCCGCTCTGTTGGCTGTGTGTGTTCTGTCCAGCCTTCCTCCCATCCCATTTTCTTCTGGGAAACTTCCCTGGATCACGGTTGCTAAAACTGAGCTAAGGCTTAAGGATAGACCATTAGTCTAAAAAAAGAGCGAGGGGAGAAAGAACTAAAGCTACCAGTTTCTTGAAACACAAATCTGAATGTTGAACCAGAGCTTTTGTGTCTGCCTTCTCTTTTTTTTCCCCCCCCAAGGTTCCTGATTCATTCATTTTTTTTGCATTTATTAGCGGTTGGTTCTTTTTTATTGCTGTGTAGTATTTATCTCATAAAATAAACAAGTTTACTATTCTGCTAATACGCATTTTGGTTGTTGCCAGTTTGGAGATATTATAAATAAAACTTGTATGGGCATTCTTCCCTGTGTACTTCAGCGAACGTATGCGTGTGTGTGTATTTGGATATATACTTAGAAGTGAAATTTCTACGTAAAATAGACCTTTATGTAGTTTGGGTAGTTTTCTAACTTTATAAAAATTTTTATTGCTTTACGTTTAATGTTAATTCTTCCTGAGTAAAACAAATACCCTATCTATTTGCATTATGGTGAAATAGATGGAGATTTTTGTGTATAGCCTACATACAGATTTGAAAATATAGTCTGGATAATTCAACTTATCAGCCCCGCCCCCCCACCACACGTACAAAAGTCCTTTGAGTTTTTTTTTTTTTAATATTTCAGGTGATATCTTTTTAAAGAACCGTATGAATAATTACTTGTTCTTTATTTTTCCCGTGAGCACCATAAAATAAAAACGCCACACAATCCAACAATTATTTATTAGTTTTTGCCATTCCCAACATCCTGCTTAATACATGGAATACAAGACAGTATTCCTCCCACTTCAAGAAGACCGTTTTCTAGCAAGAGTAAGAAATAGAGTGTGGTAAGTGCCATGATTCAAATAAGTCCAGGCTAATATGAGAGCCTATCGGGACCCAGTCCAGTTTTAGGGAGTTGAATAAGTCTTCCTAGAGGCTAACCTGAGACCTGAAGAATTAGCAATTGTTATCCAACGAAATTAAAATCCGTAAGAGTGCTCTAGGCCAAGGAAAAGGCGTTCAAAAAGATTCGGCATGGAAAGAGAAGTTTGGTATTGACAGAAGTTCAGAATGGCTGGAAAATAAAATTTGTGAATTTGTGTGTTAGGAAGGAGAGGTGCAGTTTCTGAGAAAAGAGTGAAAACATAAGCAGGGGTGTTGTAAACTGGGATAAGGAGTTTACATTTTATCCCAAGAGCAATGGAATATCATAGAAAGTTTTTAAACGGATGAACAACATGATCAGATAAGTATATTCCTTTTTTAAAAACGAAGGTTACTATAACTTCAGTGTAGAAAATAATGTGAGAACTGATTTGATGGGAGAAAGCCTAGCCATAGGAAGTCCAGTTACAAGGCTAATGAATAAATACATCTTTAATTGATGTTGATTCTTACTTCCTTTAACTACATTTTCTTCTTTCTTGGTAGTGTCTAGTTTGCCTTTGGGGTGTGAGCCAGAAGTGGAGGTCCTGTACTCTCTTATTTTCTGTGTATCTTCTTCCCACGTGGAAATCTTTCTAACACTTTCTTACTCCCCTTCCCCCAGTCGCATCTCATGACCACAACCTCTAAGTTCTCCAGAATCACTGCTTGGTCCCTGATTTGCTTCTTTGACTTTCTTTTTACCGGCGGTTTCATAAGCTTTGTATTTCCCCACCCATGAACTCTCCCTAAGAATTCTCTCTGCTCATCTCTCCATGGTCCTTCCCTGTTATTGAGAACCCTGCCTTGGAATATAAAGTACTTTATGGCCATAATTTTTTTTTTGTTAAATCAAGTTTAAAACAAAGTGTTTCTTTGTTTGTTTTTGTTTTTTTTTAAGAAGCACTTTGTTTTCTCCATGGAAGTACAGGGATAAACACTTGGGAAAAACTAGAATAATTGGCTCAGAGTCACACATATAAAATCGCTTGAATGGTGGAATGTTTTCTTAGAAGTAGGACAGCAATAATGAAATAAATTTCTTTATGGACTTATAACCTTCTGCTTTTTTGTTCTTTAGAAATCCTGTCAAAGAATATGAAGAAAAACAGAGAAAGATTCTGCAATAGAGAGAGAGAATTTGTATATAAATTTAAAGTAGGAAGTCAGTGCTTAGAACTGAGAGTGCCACTCAGATTTCCTGTTCAAGAGAATGCCAGTCATTTACATGGACGTCTGATGCTGCTGCACAGTTTACCGTGCTTTATAGAAAAAGGTGAGGAATGATTTTTTTTTTAAGTAACATCACTTTAGTAGTTTCAATAGTCTGTCATTAGAATTTTCATATTAGAAAGCATAAACCTAAGAAGCTTTGGAAACAGCCATAAAATAGGAACTGATTCCAAGAATAAAAACATTTCCCCAGAGCTTTATTAAGTGTTTTTTTCTATAAGTGGTAGTTGTTTATAAAGTATAAAAATTGGATTTTATAATGAAAAATTAGCTACCAAGTTTGGAATTACAGGAGCTCTTCTGAATTTAGTTGGGTGAAGTTATAAGGCAGTTTAGCATTATAGCGGTAATAGCATTATAGTGGTAAATTGGTTGCCCTTTTAATAATCTGGTTATTAATTTCTGAGATGCCATAGAACAGAAAGTGTACTAATTTTTGAATAGTCTTTGCTTACCTACATTAGTTTTATAAAGTTATATGTATTAAACCATTTTTAAAGGTCTGTGTTCTATCTCACAGTCTACGAAAAATTTAAAATTCAGAATATGTTAGATCATAGGTTAGAGTTATAAGAGAACCTAGAAACTTTATAGCCCAATCACATCGTACAAACAAGGAAACTGGGACATAAAGAGGTTAAATTATTTACCCAAGACAGTGGTTGTTGAAATATGGTTTCTAATCATTTAGCAGCAACAGCATCACCTGAGAGCTTGGTAGACATGCAAATTCTCAGGCTCCATCCCATTCCTGCTGAATCGGAAACTGGGGTAGCATGCGGCAGTCTGTTTAAATAAGGTCTCCAGGGGATTCTGATGCACACTTAAGATTGGGAACCACTGTCTAAAGTTGCAAACATAGTGATAATGATAGAGCCAGAGCCAGAACACAGGTGTCCTAACTTCTCTCACAGTGCTCTTCCATTATGTCACTCTCTAAGTGGTGTCTGTAAAACTGAAATCAGTCAGTCATCTGAGTTAAATGTTTTAATAAGCTAGTCATTCAACTTCTCTTTCAAAGGATGTAACAATGCACCCTTTAAAGTTACATGGAAAACTCTTTTTTAATCTAAATACAGTAATGTTCAGACCCTCAAAATCTATAGCATTTTCTTTATGTCCTCATACCCCCGTGGCTTCAAACTGAAATATCAGGCTTAAGAAAGTAACATTACTTTATCAGTATCAAGGAAATACATAAGAGTTAAGACTTTTGACCTTTCTCTATGCGACAGCCTGTCATAGTAAAGGAAAATAATCATGAAATTAGTTAAATGACCCCCTAAGCTGATTTCATTTTAGTTGGAGATTCTATTAAGAGTATCAGCTTGATAAAATAAAATTTCATGCCGGGCGCGGTGGCTCAAGCCTGTAATCCCAGCACTTTGGGAGGCCGAGACGGGCGGATCACGAGGTCAGGAGATCGAGACCATCCTGGCTAACACAGTGAAACCCCGTCTCTACTAAAAAATACAAAAAACTAGCCGGGCGAGGTGGCGGGCGCCTGTAGTCCCAGCTACTCGGGAGGCTGAGGCAGGAGAATGGCGTGAACCCGGGAGGCGGAGCTTGCAGTGAGCTGAGATCCGGCCACTGCACTCCAGCCTGGGCAAAAGAGCCAGACTCCGCCTAAAAAAAAAAAATAAATAAAATAAAATAAAATAAAATAAAATTTCATGTCCAGGCAAGGTGGCTCGCACCTGTAATCCCCGCACTTTGGGAGGCTAAGGCAGGTGGATCACTTGAGCTCAAGAGTTTGAGACCACCCTGGGCAACGTGGCGAGACCCATCTCTACCAAAAATACAAAAATTAGCCATGCATGGTGGCATGCACCTGTGGTCCCAGCTACTCGGGAGGCAGAGGTGAGACGATCACTGGAGTCCAGGAATTCAGGACTGCCATGAGCTGCGATCATGCCACTGTACTCCAGCCTGTGTAACAGAGAGAGAACCCATCTCTAAATAAATCAATAAAAATTTAAAAATAAGATTTCAGGTTGGAATTCTCTGCCAGGTAAAATGTTCCCTATTTATACCTGGATTTTGCTGATAATGGTGTTTGATGTCCCTGTAACAGACTTAAAAGAAGCTCTGACTCAATTTATAGAAGAAGAATCCCTCAGAGATTATGATAGAGATGCTGAAGCATCCCTGGAAGCTGTGAAATCAGGTGAGGTAGATTTACATCAGCTGGCGAGTACATGGGCCAAAGCTTATGCTGAGGTAAGAAAATAGGTCAGA